GTAATTGGAACGCACGACAAAATATTTATTTTTATCTTGAAAGCATTGCGTTATGATTTGCTTGTTTCCGTTCGTTCTAATATTTTATGTAAACAACAAATAAAAATTTGCCAAAATTTCTCTGCCCAACAATTTTCAAATTATCAGTTGCCGGTAAAGAAGGGCAGATGTGTAATTTGTCCAAGACATGCCTTTTTGCAAAAAGTAGAAGGTGTGCCAAAAACATGTGCATAAAGCGCAGGAAAAATGTTTGTAAAGAAAGCTTTGATTCCATAGTAAATTCTAGTATCGAAATTGAGTGACTTTGAGCAGGCTGGGTTTTGCCTCCCTATTGACTTTTCTTTAGCAAATCATAATTACTTGTAAAAGTAAACCTTATCTTATGTGCTTAGTGTTTTTTTTTTTGGTTTTTATTATTGTTATGACTTTTAAAATTTGTGTTTTTTAAATAAATACTTTATTTTATTAAAATTGTCGTCTTTTGACATTTTCTTTTTTTGGTCATCTTTTACCAAATTTGAACGCAACGAAATATGTTCTCATTGTCTCTAAGCTCATCTTAACTTGATAATTTTGAAAAAAAAAAAAACAAAAAAAAAATGTAAATAACACTCAGGGACGCTTTGCCATCAGGGGTGTCTCTGACACCCCGCGCGACCTACTACGTTGCATAAAGAGGTGCGCCTGCATAAGGGTTAAATGTAAAATGGTTAAAATTGACGATTTAAGATGTTAAATTGTTGAAATTAACCGATTTATAATGTTAATTGTTGAAATTAAACGATTTACATTGTTGAAATTTTAAATGTATTTCAGATCAACATTTTTGCTGATTAAAATGTTATAATTTGACAATTTAACTTTATAAAATCGGTTAATTTTCATTGTTAAATTATTGAAAATTGACGATTTAAAATATTAAATTGTTGAAATTTAACGTTTCTAAATTTCAAATTAATATAATTTGACAAATTATCGGTTCTTGTTGTTCCATTGAATCGGTGATATTAAGAACAACACACGTCCAAAATTTTTATTCTGACATCATTTTCTTAAATCAATTTAAAAGTTAAATAAAATAATTTGTCAAAATTTTAACTTTTGGACTTAATCTCACCGATTCAATTGTTATATTTGCAGTGTTAAAGTAACAGTTTTTATTAGTTCTGTGTTAAAATTGATCAGGTGTTAAATATTGAAGTCATACAATTATTGTATAAATTACAATGGCAGCAAATTAAAAATATTATTCGGGCGCCAATTTTTACGATATCCTCTTCGCAGGTATCGTGCGTAAGATTCTCGCCGAACCACGCCAACCCGATCATCGTGTCGGCCGGTTGGGACCGCATGGTCAAGGTCTGGAACCTGACCAACTGCCGTCTAAAGATCAACCACTCGGGCCACACCGGCTACCTCAACACCGTGACCGTCTCTCCCGACGGCAGCTTGTGCGCCAGCGGCGGCAAGGACTGCAAAGCCATGCTCTGGGACTTGAACGACGGCAAGCATTTGCACACCTTGGACCACAACGACATCATCACAGCCCTGTGCTTCTCGCCAAACAGGTATGTACGAGTTTTTGGGTTTTTAGGCGTTTTGACCTTTATATGATGATAACCCCTTTAACCACTTGATAAAACTATGAGAGGTTAGCGGATATGGGACTGACGCAATCCAAAAAAACTCCCAAAACCCAAAATTTTTCGCAAAACACCAACACGTTTTTTCTTCCATCAGGTACTGGTTGTGTGCTGCTTTCGGACCTTCCATCAAGATCTGGGACTTGGAAAGCAAAGAGATGGTGGAAGAGCTGAAACCTGAAGTGGTGAGCCAAAACAGCAAAGCCGAACCACCACAGTGCCTTTCCTTGGCCTGGTCCACCGATGGCCAAACCCTGTTTGCCGGATACTCTGACAACACGATCAGAGTATGGCAAGTCAGTGTGTCGGCTCATTAGGTTTTTAAGTTCTATGACATGTATGTTAAGTACAAAAATAAAACAGTTTTAAAATTTAAAGCTCTTTGTATATATTTATAGTTTTAAGTACATATAATATAGGTTGTAATTTATTTTTTTATTTAATAAAAAAAGTTAAAAATATTTAATATCTTTATTATTTATAGGTAAGTAGTAACAGTAGAATAAATTAGTTGCAATCAAAATGGGTTTTTTCTCATTTTCTCGACTTTTATTGGCTAAAGAAGGTAGGTAATAGATTACACAAAAGGTATGTATAAAACAAAATGCAATCCACAATATGTGTAAAATAAGAACATTTCTGTAAAATCTTGATTTGTAAAACTTGTATTTACAGAAAAGTAACTATAACTATCAACAGTCACTACCAGTAAGTATCTCATATTAACAATTTTAAACATTGAAAGTTTTTAGCTAATTTAAATTATTTTATAAAAAATGTGCTTCTATAGTACTACAATGGAGGATTATAAATTCCCTGCCTAACAACGGGAATAATGAACTCATTATTCACGTTGTTGGGCATCAGCGATTGGCCGATTTCAATATTGGAAGAAGGCGACTATAATAACATTTAAAATTGGTAAACAGTGAGGTTGACAGATGTCAGATTTTATTTATTTAATAAATGCTTTTTAAAATTGTTAAATGAGATACGCCCCTATGTGATAATTGAGACGATATGGGCTCTTTCTTTTTTGTCTTTTTTTTGTCTTTCAAATTTTCAAAAATTCCGAGATTCTTGTGTTATAGTCTGCGGAAATTTTCTAAAATTTCTAGAACTTGAAATCTTCAGGATACCTTTAGTAAGCCATCTGCACTATTTAACCGTTGATTAACTTAAAAATTAAACGGTGTTGCCAAATTTTTAAAAAATCCCAGATTCTGCGAAATTCTTAAAATTTTTAAGATACCTTCACTGAAGGTCCTTCAGTCTTGCACTATTTAGCGGTGTTGCCAAATTTATATATAAATCCTGACATATTTGCGAAAGTGTGATAAAATAAATCATAAAAAGAAGTTACTTATATGCTTCTAACCAAAAGTCCCACTTTGACATTTAAATACAAATAATTGAGGTTATGTATATATTAGTTAAATGCTAATTTCGTCTTATTTTGTATCTGTAATTTACCCAGCCAGCATTGGATGACAGCTATGCGCTGTGATCACTTTGCGCATCTGTAGTCTTGCCTTGTCGTTTATAGTTACTCCTCCTTTAATTAGTCTTCATGATTTTGACTGGAATAAAATATTAAACTATCTAATAACTAATAATTTTAGAATGTTTCAAATATAATTCCAATTAATTATTCACATTTACTTGATTAATTGTAATTTAAACGGTGTAAATCGTAGCAATCAATTTCCAATTAAAACTAGTAGGTTTGTTTACACAATAAATTAATTGGTTATGCTTAGTGTGTATGCAAGCAATCCAAGGATATTGTAAATAGCATGGAAATGCGTTCAAATATCAGTTTTATACAGGTAGAGTTCCTTTATAAGAGTATACGTTTTATTACGAAGTTATAATGTTATTTGTGCTTACAAAGGGTGTCCTAATTATAAACGTTTCTGTAATTTTTTTTTACCCAGACGAAATTTTAAAAAAATTGTTTTTTTTTTTATAAAATGCTCATTAAAAAAAACTGAGTAGGTAATTGACAGTTTTTTTAATTTTTTAATTTTTAAAGAACTTCATATTTTATAAAATTTTGTAGTTGAAAAAACATTAGTTTTTCAAAAACTGACTAATTAAAAGTTTTTTTTACATTTTTCGTTTTTAAACGTACATTAAAAAAAATAATATTTTTTTTAACCGAAAAACCTCATAGAACATGGCTGAATACTTTTTTAATTTAATATTAATTAATATTTACATACATTTAAAAACAAAATAATCTTAATTGTTCAGTTTTTTTTTTAAGTTTAAAAAGAAGCACAAAAACGTTTTTAGTGGGGTAGAAATATAAAAAAATATTCACCACTGACACAGTATGGAACGCCAAAGTATTTTTTAATCGTCAATTAAAAATATCACATTTCAATTTCAATTTCTTGTATCACAAATTTAATTTCTGATATCAAAAACTAATTTGCGATATCGAAAATTAATTTTTGATATCACAAATTAATTTGCCATATTGAAAATTCAATTCAATTTCTTATATCACAAATTCAATTTCTGATATCAAAAATTAATTTGCGATATCGAAAATTAATTTTTGATATCACAAATTAATTTGCAATATCGAAAATGTCTTAAAAAAATTAACAACTTATTAAATAAAAATATATTTTTTCTAATATATTATTTGTAATTCAAACAATTAAGAATAACATTAAAATTTTAAGTTTATTTAAATTATTTTAAATAACATTAAAATTTTAAGTTTATTTAAATTATTTATCCGGGTATTGTAAATTTTCAGTTGATAATTTATCTGAATTCTTAAGTAGACCTAATATTTTTAATTCGCCAATAAATCGATATTTTTAATTCAAAGTGATATTTTTAATTTTAATTTATTTGGAAATTAAATATTTTAAATTAACTAAATAAAAAATATCAGTTTGGCATAAAAATTAAATCCTATTTTTAATTAAGCAAATTAAAAATGTGTGTTTAACAAAAAAATACAAATATAAGAAACAGATATTTTAAATTCACTAAATTAAAAATAACAGTTTGCCATTATTATTATTAGGTATTATTCGCAGAATAAAAATTCTTAAGTGATATTTTTTATTTAATACAGGTAGCAAGACAGCAGTCTATCACTAAACTTTTTAGCTATATTCTGTGTGAATTGTAGTAGTGCACAAACAACTTGAGCTATAAATTGCCGTTTAGGTGAAAAAGGTTATTACGGCCGAAATTGTATAAGGGCGCCACTCCACGCGGTCGCAACCTACAACAATTTCCAACAAAGAGACCTGGAGCCACGGCCTGCGTACACCTATAATACGCGACGGGTACCTAAAAATAGCGGCCGCGAGCGAAAGAGAGACGGGAAAACGCGCAACAGGCCAGCGAATGGCATCTATAGTAGTTTTAGTCCGACCGCGGGAGCCTCTCGTCGAATACGTAGTGTGCTGTGGCGCAGGGCGAACCAATAGGAGAGTTACCTTGGAATACCGCCGAAAAAAACGACCGTGTTGTGCGAAATAATGATTTTGAGTGTCAAACGGTGCTTTATTGAGTGTTTGTGATGTGATACCTTGGTACCCGACGCTGTGGCTTCTTCTAGAATCGCAATGGAACGCTCGGAATGTGATGGATAGGTAAGCCGATGCCGATAATTGCAAAAATGTCATCTGTCCGATGGTAAATTATTTTTCCTCGGATCAGTGACTCTCAGTTGCCTGCGGAACACCATTTTTATCCCTGTATTGTAATTTCAGCACAGTGTTTGCTCTATAAATGGTTTGTTTGCTGTTTGTTAGTGTTAGGTATGATCTTAGGGTACCATTATGCACCTACTATTTACTCAATTCGTTTTATTTACTTTTTAAATCATAAATGAGTTAAAAGGTTTCAACAATTGCTTGTTGTCGGTTTTTTATTTGATGTTGTCTGAAATTTAAAATTTTTAACCGTTGAATTTTATGGTATGAAGATAACCATACTTTTTTACGATCCAGTGGTATTTATATACAGGGTGCCCAGGAAATGGCAAACCAACTACGCTGGTTATTTTAGAAATACAAAAATTAAAAAAAAATCCGACAGGTAGTTATAAAGCACTTTATAACTATAGTTTAAAAAACGCGGCAATTTTAAGTTTACAACCAACTGTAAACATTTTGTAGATTTAATAACAAATTCTACACCGTAAAAAATTTTGCGCGTGTAGGAGTGTAAAAGTTACACTACAAAATACACTAGGTAGCATTTAGTGCTTAATAACTTTATTAAACACATTTAAAGAATATGAACATTATTCATTGGTACCTACATTCACACTATTTATTATTAAAATAAATCAAAAGGGGAGAAAAACTTAATGTGAGTGTTTATTACCCCTTAATGTATTAAATAGTGACAAAATGTACACTACAGTGCATGCCAATTTATTTGTCTGTTTTGATGTTACTAAGAGCTCTTTTCTCTTTACACTACTAGTGCAGATTGTATCACAATTAAAGTTAAATTACACCAATAGTGGCAAAATAGACTGAAAAAATTGGTAATAACCGAAATGCGTTTTAAAATGTTTGGTTGGTACCTATCTACCTACGCAGTGCAAATCCGGAGATACCGCATTGTGGAAGTGTGGCATTTTTGTTCAGTTAGATTTTAATTACGGTGAATCCATAAGAGGACATTCTTATTTTTTGGTAAGTATTATAGGTACTTCCTTTTTCTTTAAGCCTTAATACTCAATAAATACCAATATGTTAAAAGGATGTCCATACCCGACCTATATTATATATCAATAATTTACGGCAGTAGGTCGGGTACTTGTAACATTAATAATATAAATACATATACACTTGATTTACTTTTTATTTTCAAGCGTAATGGTTGTTATATTAACCTATACCTACATTTTTATTAATATTATGGAAAATTTGTACACGTGTTGTAAATCCCCGACATACAGCCGCCTGACGCCTCTCTACTAATGGGATCACCCATTTTTTATAACAGAAAAATGGATTACTGATGAATCCTCAAGATAATTCATTGCTTACAAGTTGACATCCAGTAAAACATTGAATTGATCTAAAACTTTTACGTTTTAAGGAACCATTTTGCTTAAGCCAGCCATACGAGTTAAATATAAAATTATATTTTAAAAGTCACCGATTTTGATAATTGTGATAGATTTTTGTTTCTCTTTATTTACCTTTTCGTTTTATTCACTACCACCAATTCGTGTTACTCAAATAATAGTGTTAATTTAGACTACAAGTTTGCACTAAAAGAGTAAAAGTACCTGTCTAAAATTAGAACTTTTCCAAAGTAGTGTTACTTTACACTGAACAAAAGTGGGATTTTACCCAGGAAGTGTAGAAGTACACGATTTTAGGTAAATTAACACTTTTTAATACAGTGTAAAATTACTTTATCCTCAGTGCTATAGTGTTAAATCATACTTGCTTACTTGGGGAAAATTACACTACAAATTAACTAATTGTAGTGTTATAAAACCACACTATTTAGTGTGGACCTGTGTGTCAATAATTCAACCATAATTCTATTAATTTTCAAAAAGGACTTTATTTTTACAAACCTTTTTGTAGACCCATGGGGTACACGAATTTAGCAATAATTAACGAAAACATCCCGTGTAGTCTTAGCAATTTTTTACTCGGAAACCAGACGGCAAATCTTTCTAAAACTTTGTAAAGTTGACTCTTCTACAACCTGTAATCCCCTTAATTGAAACGTTTTTAGGTAATTCAGTGTAGCTAATTGATTTTAAATTGTTTATTGATATAAATGACTACAAATCGGTTAATTCTACAACTTTCCATATTAGATTTATTACCAACATTGACCGTGTAGAATAGTGTCAGTTTCTATAGTAAGAATTAAGAACAACACATACTTAAATAAAATAAAAACTTGACATTAAACTAAGCAACAGATGTAAAATTTTACGTTGGATCGATATGTACATAGAAAATTACCTACAACCGCGACATTTAAGTAGGTTAAAGCAAATAATTTATTAGAGATTAAAAAACACTATTCAATGATTTTAACCGCAAAAGAAATGATTTTTTCGTTCCACTAATCCTTGTCATAAGGTTACAAGTCATCGCCAATGATTCTTATCTTATTTTATTTCGCTCGTACGAGATTTTAATCAATATAATTGGGTGAGAAGCAAAAGTGAATTCCTTCAAAGTAATTACCCGAAACCAAAGCATAAAAAAATTGATTATGATGTAAAAAACAACTTATTTCGAGATATTCTTATTTTCGTATAAAGTTTGGCGCCATTTTTATCTAAAAAATTACCGCACCTAGAAAGCTAAAATTTGGAATGCACATAAAGATAGTCGAGCTAAATAACATGTTAAAATTTTATCAACTTATCTTACATAGTTTCCAAGATACTGGCAATTTATGTAGAAGTGATTCTGATTTTATCAAGCACTTCCTGTTTTAATACCTGAACTCTATTTTTCTTGTAGGTACTATAATATGCCTTGGGGTGTATAAATATTTAATTTAACGACTAATTAATGTTCCCAGTTAATTTTTTACTCAACAAAACCTTTAATTAATTTTTTCTACTCCCACCTTTAAAACGCCCTTTATCGTACATGTTTCCATAAAACTAAGTGACCTTTTAAATACACATTGATAAGTTGTGGCTTTATGGCTATTTAGTCACGGGCTGAAGTTAGCTTTAAGTTAGTTGACAGTTGTCAAATGTCATACAATCGTTAAAATAAATTGCCTTTCTTGTAAAATAATACTAAATGTGAAAATTATTTTATTATCTTAATACAAAAATACAAAAGTATTAAATAGTTTCTCAACGCCAATATTTGAAAAGTTTATATGAACATTGTACTGACCTTTTAATTTCGTTAACTTAAATTCGGGCACGTACTCCACTGTAAAGTGCTCATAAAACATTTTCTTTACTTTCACTGTGAAAAACTGTAAATTTTCAAGAAATACATTTCGATTAATTACCTTTATTATTAATTTGTTTTATAGATCGCATTATAAATTTTTTAATTTAAATCAATCAAGTATTTGCCGTAGAAAAAGTATAGTATGCAAATCGTTTATAAACTTTTCTATAAAATGAATATTTATATATATATGCGGGTTAATTAAGCTTTCATTAGAAAAAAAAGTTGAAACGTCGCTTGGTCCTCTTAAAAATTAGTTCGTAACATCTGCATGACAATAAAAAAACAAAATTAACTAAGGATGTGAAAGTAGAACGAAGAATTTAATACCTATATGGCAATTTTAACGTTTTTTTTAAGGCGGGACGGTTTTTAAATGTAAATTAGCCTTTGCTCGGTTTTGTACGATTATTTTTTAGCATATTTAATTTAAATTGCTGTTTTGTTAATTAAGGGGGGTTACGCCTCAAAGATTAAGGGGTGCATATGTCGTTGTAGGTCAAATTGTATTTCCGTTGATTTTACGGAAAAATTCTTTTTGGATGAAATATTTTGTATTAAAAATTATCCCAAATTTTGTTGCATTTGAACTAAGAAATTAGTAATTGTTAAATTTCGCGGGTTCGGAGGGTCCGGTTGTCATAAAATTTTCTTTATTATGTTGGTATACATGCCCCCGAAGTATGATAAAAACGTTAGCTGTTTTCATTTTTTACTTTGTCTGTGGCAGCCGCTAAGGTTAGACGTGTTTTATGAACTCGGCGATTTTTCGTTCGTTAAAAGAAATGGATCAAAGAATTTGTATCCAATTTTGCTTAAAAAATGAAATAAATTCTGAGAAATGTTAACAAAGGCCTATAGTGAGTCTTCTATAAGTAAAACAAGAGTTTACAAGGGGTATAAGAGTTTCCAAGATGGCCGTGAAGACGTTGAAGATGACGAACGCCCCGAACGCACAAGCACATTAACAACCGATAAAATATGGAAAAAATTGTTATAAACCATCAGAGAAGTCGCTGATGATGTTGGTATATCGATTGGCCCATCTCATGAAATTTTTTCGAATGTTTTGGGTATGAAACGCGTGGCAGCAAAATTTGTTTTAAAATTGTTAAATTTTGAACATTTTTGGCCAAAAACAATACTGTATTGATGCCCCAGCCTCCATATTCGCCAGACATGCCTCTGTCTGACTTTTTCCTATTCCCAAAAATAAAGAGAACCTTAAAGGGCCGTCGTTTTGCAAACATAGATGACATTAAAAGCGCATCGCTGAAAGAACTAAAGGCTATCCCAAAGATCAAGTTTTAGAAGTGTTTCGAGTATTGGAAGAAGAGCTGGCACATGTGCATAATATCCAATGGGGACTATTTTGAAGGCGACAACATTAATGTAGACGAATAAATAAGTATTTGTTTCAAAATACGAAAATTCCCGATATTTTCTGAACACACCTCGTATATCATTTATGTTATAAACACTAGGAAGTTTATGTAAATTTTTACATATTTTATTTAACTCGCATTATTTTTAACACAAATTTTATAAATTTTTAACTGTGTATGTAGTGAAACAAAAGCTAACCATTGATAAAAAATGCAACAAAAAACGGTCTTATTGGATTTTATCGTTTGTATATAGATATATCAGTATACTGTTAGAAAGACCCTGTATGGTGTTGG